AAATAAATAAATAAAATTAAAAAAACAAAACAAAAAAAATAAAACATACTATGTAATTAGAAGAGTAGGGCCAGCCACAGGTCTATCTAAAGCAAAAGACCTTAAAGTAACAGCTTTCCTTTTTGGAGAAAATTCATGCTATCATTTTTATTCTTACTTTATCTACATTGTGTGTTTTATCTTGTATTTTTCTAACCTAAAATTAAATATTTAAGTAAACAAATTCATAACATAAAGTAATCATACCTGCACCATATATCACATTTTTCATACATATAAAGTAAAAATGATCCTTTTATAGTGTCAAATGAACAATCTATTTGGGTTACTTTGAAGGTTACCTTTTCTGCTACTTCTCGCACAGACTGAACACTGGTTCCATACAGATGGTTGTTATACTGGCCAGCTTCAATGAATTTATGTTCTTGTATATCTTTTTCCATTTGCTCTCTTGAAGTCACAAAGTGATAATCTCTTCCATCTACCTCATAATCTCGTTTTGGTCTAGTCGTATCTTTAACAGAAAAAAAACTTGGGGAAGTGTTTAGTATTACAAACAAATTCATTTTCTATTTAGCCCACTATAAAGCTCAACCCAACAATTTAAATTTGAAAAATAATATGGAGGATGAAATAACTGGTAAAATAACTATGAATCATGAAAAAGAGTTATGATTATTTTTGTCAAATACAGTGACAAGGAATGTTAAGAACGATTAAAAATTTTTATGTGGTTACTCACGAGGAACACAGGATCCAAATTTGTCAGGAAATTCTGAGATCAAGTCATCGTTTATTCTGTCTTTCATAGGTCCCAATATGATAACTGGTCGAGTATAATTAACTATAAAGATAAACTACATGTTAAAAGGAATAATCACTCAATAAATATTAATGTACTTTATTTTACCAGAGAATATAAAATCATCCTGAGGTTTCAGAATTTCTTTGTTCTTTCCTTATATTACTTCATCATTAATCAAAGATGACCAATTTGCTACTTTTTAAAAGCTTTATTACGATACTCAACTTCCTCAATCTCCACTAGAAGTCAATTAAGTTAAATTTAGCATTTTAATAGATAATGCTTCTGTATACTACTAACATTATCTCATTACAAATGTGGAAACACAGTATATGGTTTTACACATAGAAATTATAAGGAGCTGAACAAGGGACAAAAAAGAAATTGGGTGTAGAGACTGTTATGATCATAGTAATAATCTAGAAAGATGATCTTCTAGAGGAGGGTATATACTGGGCTTCCAGGGCTCATGGTGGAAGAAGGGAGATTAGCAGTGAGAATTGTAACGAAAACTGTGGTAGGAAGGCTGAAAAAGAGGCTATTAGTAAGGAATATATGACAGAAATAGAATTAAAAGGGGCTAGAACCTGACTGGATGAGGATAAAGAACAGAGAAGGGTCAAATAAAATACTTTTAAGACTTTTTTGTTACTAAAAATACTGGAAAGAGACTGCTTAGGAAACAAAACACCAGTATAAATCAGCCAATATAAAGTGACTTTCTTTTAGTACACTATGAGCTAAACTTTGTCTCATAAAATTCAGACACTTAGTTTCTACATAAAAATGTACAGTAAATAGTAAAATTCTAGTACGAAATTTGTTTGCAGTACGATATAGACCTATTTTCCAAGGTTTTTGTTTTTTTGGTAAGATTGTAAAACACCAATAAACTTCACAAACCTTCCTGTTGATTCACCGGTTCATAAGACAAGACATATTCTTCTTGACCACCTATTAGGAAGTTAAAGCACAGATAAAAAAATCTGAAAAGATAATAAATGAATCTCATTCTTCACAGCTAAGATACAAATTACTAAGACTATCCTGAGAAAACAACAAAGATGTATAATAAAAAGATACTTTACTTCAAAATTATTTACAGATTCAGTAAAAAAGGCAAATTATTAAGTTACAAGGATTTAAGTTTAAGAAATATAACCAATTATAAATGTTATCTATTATAACTGTTATTCTGTAAAAATATCTGTGATGTTGAGTATGTGCTATTAATTTCTTAGAACTTAAGAACTATTAAATCTTTTTCTTATATTTAGTAGAGGGTCTGCAGGGTTTCACTACACGGATTGGACTTGTAGTGATCCTTCCTGTTTTTCAGCCTCCCAAGCACTGGGATTACAGGCTCATGCCACCATGCCCAGTCTTAATCACTGGCTCAGCATGCCAAAGGTGCAGTACAGCATGGCAGGCTTGGGGTTGAACCCCTGGCCTCTGGGCCTGCCTAAGCAGGTGCTTCAATCTGCTGAGCTATCTCACCGACCCAAAAAACTATTAAATCTTTTAAAAACTAATACTATTAAACATACATGAAGTTTCACATATAGGCACATTAATTTGCTATTAAAAATACTTTTTTGGTTCCATCAATTATAATATTTAACAAATTATATTTTGCTTTAAAAATACAGGTGTCAAACTGTTTCAAAAAAAAAAAAAACAAAAAAAAAAAAACAAAACAAACCTCACTGTTTCACTAATGAAAAAGTTTACTGATTATTCCAATTCATCAACTTTAAAAAATATTTAAATTGTGTTAACATTGTTTTAAGATCATTTGAAAGAAGTAAATCTTTTTCTTCTAACTATGAATCAAATTAATATAAAGGAGTTAATGTAGTGTGTTTTAATTTTAAAAACACTTTAAAGCTTCTGAAGGCTAAATTAAAGGTGTAGAGCTTAGGAAATGTGCTAAATAAAAAGTCTACAAATTATATCTGAAGCCAGTGAGAAGATTTATTTATTTATTTATTTATTATTTATTTATTTTTTTGCAGAACCAGGGACAGTGAGAAGATTTAAAAGTTAAAAATTCTAGTTCTGGCATCTAAGCAGTTCAAAGAAAAAATTAAAATTAGATAATGTATTTGAAGATTTTTTTCTTTGCTTATAAAGTTCTGTAACAACTATCACCAATTTTGTCACTGGTTTCTATGTATTTAGCTGCAGGTCTTTGAAATTCACATAATGGTATAAGTAGTCTTTCTTGCTTTAAATATATGTTTTCAATTTTATTACTACAGTATATAAAACATACTTTACAAGCTCCTTTTTAAAGTACTGGATGTAAAACATGGTTCACATACTAGCCAAAACATGCAATTTGAATATTCAACACCTTAATACATTCATGCAAATGGTGAAAGAGACAGTATATACTTTCATTCCCTCTCTTTACTTTAGTGTTTCTTTTTTGTGGAACCAGGGATTGAACTCAGGCCCTTGCACTTACTCTACTGAGCCATCTTCCCATCCCACCTCTCTTCAGTTTAGAAAGCTACTCAACTACTCTACAGTGGCTTCTGGTTACAAGCTAGTAAAATGCTGAAATCTATTTCCATGTCAAAAAGATTATTAGGAGATTTTTATGTAGAAGAGAACAGCCAACCAAATGAATGAGAGTTAAAAGTATATATTGTCAAAATGAAAAAAATAGAAGGGACTGATATGAACAGGATGGACCTTTTGGGCAGCCATACTCATCTGTAATCAAGATTACTTTCATATTAGACAGCAGTAAAAAAAAAAAGTTAGAAAAACAATTTTAATTTTTAAAGTGCTATAACTGGTAATATTCATGTACCTCCCCACCCTCCCATGCCAATCTTTTTAAAGACTTCACATGTCTACTCCACTTAAAAATATCAAGAATACAAAATGAAAAAAAAAAAGCATTACTTTTGAGAAATGATTAAAAAGTTTCTTTTTCTTTTTTTTTCTTTTTCTTCTCTCCCGGCTCATTTAATAATATCTTATGAGCAGATCAACAAAATAGTTCAGATTTTCCCATTGCATGAGAACTAGCCAGAATCATATTATTAAAGTCCTGGAAAAATTTTTCATTTTTCAGTGTCTCCAGCAGAAGCTTGATAGGCATTGTGAAACTGAAAAGTTTTCCTTCCTCATTTTTTAATTCTAACAGGCAGGTGGTCAAAAACAATGACTTGATCCAGCCCAACACTGGTGACATAGAAGAAAGGAACTAAAGCAAATTAAACCTAGCATTATTGAAAAATTACTTTAGTGCTCATGTTGAAAATAAAATTAAACAATGTCAAAAAACAAGTTTAGCTAGGTATCTATTTTTCATAGAAGATACACAAAAATACATATATGCTATGTACAAAAATAATGCTACTAATAAAAGTTTTAGTATTTTCTCAAAAGTTTGTAATATTTAACTTCTCTTTTGATCTATATTTATAGATTGAGAATCCTTTACGTAAAATGGTCAGCCCTGAACTGTTATAGATTTAAGATTTTTGTTTTGGACTTGAAATGTGAAATTTTTCAAAATTTGGTAATTCATGAGCATCACTGTTGCTGCTAAAAAGTTTTGGAATTTGTATAGAGACACTCAACTTGTAGTAATTTTATTTTTCAACAAAATAATTTGATTAGCTTTCCCTGATTTTAAAATTAAGCATCTGATTTTTATTTTTTACAATAGATATAAATAAGGAAAAAACACAAAGGATATGAATTACTTTGGATTACAAAAGAGTAAGTAACTTAAAACACTTACGGTAACTACTTTCACTATCGCTGGCATTAGAAGTTACATGCTCTGAAATATCAGGACAATGAGAAATAAAAGTGTCATGAGTTTAAAAAGCTGATTATCAAAACAAATTTATCAAAGTAAAACATGGTAACATACATTCCAAAATGTTGATATATAAACCACATAGAACCAAAAACTTTTCTGATGTTCTTTAAAAATGTAATTCTTCTTAAGCAAGTATGAATCAGCAAGAGAAAATCCCCATAATTAAGGATAATGCCTTATTTTTATATAATATCGTTCATGAAAAAATCTCTATTATACATAGCAAGCAGAATATGACAAAGAAGGCAAAGTAACCCTAAATTAGATAAAATGTAGAAATAAAACCCAAAATGAGAAAATATATTTGTGCTATTTTAGTTATATGAAATGCAAAGACAAGCAAACAAATGATGCCCAATTTAAGACAGGGATGACTTTGTAATTTAAAAATAGGTCTTATTTTTAGTGATGCATCTCTTGTTCCTAAAGGAAAAAAAAATCATGTTTCTGTGATCTTATCAAGCATATCAGATGTCATATATTCAATGTTTCAAAAATAGTAAGTGAGAATTCTTTAGGTTGGGATTGGATTTCTAGTTGAATTGTTTTTTAGGGGAGGTTTTTAAAGTTTTTTGTTTTTGGTGCTGAGGACTGAACCCAGGGCTTCCAGCTTGCTAGGCAAGCATTCTACTGCTGAGCCAAATCCCTAGCCCCTGGGATTGGATTTTTAAAAATATTCAATTTTGATAAAATTGACAGTGGCTGCTTTGAAAAACATGAAAAAAAGGTCAAACACATCTTGTCAAAAATACATCTTGTCTAACCTCTCCTTAAAACAATTCCATTCAATGAGCTGGTTGTATACTAAACAAAAGGTACTCTTTTTGTACATGTAAATGTAATTGCTTAAATCTTCCTTGAATAAAAAAAAGTAATTTTATTTATAAAAACTAAAAAAATCCCTTTCAATGAGAGGAAAACCTGAATTTCTTTCTTTTTTTTTTTTTTGGGCAGAACTGGGGATTGAACTCAGGCCTTTCTGCTTGCCAGGTAAGCACTTAAGTCTACTGAGCTATCTCCCCAGCCCCAAACCCTAAATTTCTAATGTTATGGAAAGAATTTTTTTCCTCTAGAAAATGAAAAAGTCTGAGGATAAATACTGGTTATACCATAAGTACCTCCTACTGGGTTTTCTAAGGTTAAGTAGCGCTATGCAGAAGTATAGAGAATGGCAGAACTTAACATTTCAAGTGAGGAAAACAAGTTCTTGAATTGCTATTGTAATGAAAAATGTCTCCTATTCTAAACTGCAAAGTCAAGATATAACTTCTTGGGCCGGGGAGATAGTTCAGCAGAATAAGTGGAAGGGCCTGAGTTCAATCCCGGGTTCTGTCAAAAAGACCTCCCAAAACTTCTTAATTATGGTTGAAGCAAGCACTTTAAAAATTACAAGTACAACTGACTAACATCTGACAACCACAGGTAAACTTTTTTTTAAAGCTTGTATTTAAAAATTTTGTTACGACATGGAGTTCAAAATCATTTAAAATTGCAGAATATTGGACTAATAAATTACGATTTTACTTTACTATTTATAGTTTAGACATTTTAGTTGGCTTTAAACTATTTTCACAAACATCAATAATGGTAAATGCATGTCATTTTTACCTATCCTCGTTACCTGAAATTTATTCCCAAAAGTAGGAATCAACATTGAAAAACTCTTACTTTATATCAGGATTAATATTATAAACTCTGTGACATAAATTTATAAAAGAAAGAAAAGTTATTGTGATGAGGTGAAATAAAAATATAGAAGAAACAAAATTGGTTAATGTTGAATTGATAGTTACAAAAGCAGGGTGAATAAATTTGTGGCATTTATTTTTATTATCCAGTACTGAATATATCTTGACATTATATAGTAATAAAGCTTACAAGCAAAAGCAAAACAACAACAAAAAGACACTTTACCTAATAAGGTATTAATACAGCCAGTACACACATAAGAAAGGTGTTTAAATTTACTTATCAGAGAAGGGAAAATTAAAAAACAAAGGATATTTCTTTCATCTAATAGACTAAAATGAAAAAAGAAAACAAGAAAAAAGAAAAAAAGAAGAAAACCTACCAACTACTGATAAAGAACCACTGTTCTTTATGTGGACTCATATACTGATGTAGGTAAACTGGTTGCATTACTTTGGGAATTACGTGGCAGCATAGTTATCTCTCAGTGTCTAGGGAGGATTGCCTCCAAGGCCCCCGGGGAAGACCTAAATCAGATGATCAAAAATTCCCTGATATAAAACAGTGTACTATCTGCATGTAACCTACACATGCCTTCCCACTTACTTTTTTTTTTTTGCGGAACCGGGGCTTGAACTCAGACCCTTTCACTTGCCAGGGAAGCGCTTATTCTACTGAGCCATCTCCCCGGCCCCTCCACTTACTTTAAATCATCTCTGAATTGCTTAATAACACCTGGTACAATGTGACTGTCTTATAATTGTTACACTGTGTTGCTTAGAGAATGACAAGAAAAAGTTTGTCTAGTGCACACAAACCACCAAAGGCCTAAACTATAAGGGGTACAAGATGAAAAGTGCACAATGCTCAAACAGGGGCTGGTGAGACTGTGGATCTATGAAATGGTAGGTGGCTACAGTAGACTAGTCCCCTGCCTCCATTTATATGACATATACAGCAAGCACAAGTTTTGCTTTGTTTTTGACATTTATGGAATTTTCCACTCAAATATTTTTGATCCATGATTGGCTGAACACACAGATGTGGAACCAGTTGGACAGAAGGCCACCTGTACCCACTACAACCAAACATATGGATATGCACAACCCAGCAATCCTTCCTTAGGTATTTTTCTAAGAGAAAGGCATATACATGCTCAACAAGAGATGAATAAGAATGTTCCAAATAATCCTTTTCAAAATAGCCTCAGGGATATTTTATCTGAAGGATATATATAACTTTAATATTCTTACTTTTTTCCATTTTGAGCATTTTCCATGTCATTAAAAATATGATTTCAGTGGTTATGCAATATGATGGAATAAATCATACTTTATTAACCATTCCTCAAATAAGATGTTCTCGGATTGTTTTGTTAGTTTTAAATGCTATTAAAATAAACATTCCAATAAATATACCTTTACCATTCTTTCTCTCTCTCTCTCTCTCTTTCTTTTTTGTATTTTAGGGAAGGGTCTACAGGGTGTTCAGGGTCTCACTACTAGATCGGACTCGTAGTGATCTACCTGTTTACTGCCTCCGAAGAGCTGGGATTACAGGCGTGGACCACCATGCCCAGTCTCAATTGCTATGTCAGAGTGCTCTAGGGGCAGGGCTGGCACAGCAGGCCTGGGGATCGAACCTGGTCCCTGCTTGCAGGTGCTTTAATTCGCTGAGCTATTTGGCCTGCCCCCATATCATTTATGTCTTCAGGGTAATTTCCTTGAAGAAGACTTAGTGGACTAAAAATACCTTTCTCAAACATGCACCATCAACTTAATATTCCTAATCATAGTATACAGAAGAAACCTCTAGATAGAACCTCTATAAGAAAAGTCTGTTGAAGTGACAGGTAAAATGTGTTACTCTGTTTATTGATTACTAGCGAGATTAAACATTCCTACAGTGCTTATTTCATCTGCTCATCTTTTGAACATTCTTGTTGATATATTTGGATCTGGAGAATCCTTCAAAGAGAGTCCTTCTATGTTAATGGCCCAGCCATCTTAGCACAACTGGGAGGCAGGGCCGAGTGGCACATTTTAGGTCATTTGGGAAGTGACCCAGAAGACGATATGGCACCATCTTTCCTGACTGGGAGCTTAACTGCTTGTTCCATCATGTATTCCCAACATGCCTTACACAGACTAAAATTGTAGTCCCTAAACCAGCTCATGGAACTTCCAAACTGTGAGCCAAAATAACCTTTCCTCTGTATGCTGGTTATCTAAGGTGTTTGCTCCAAGTAACAGACAGCTAACACACCTGCCTTATTCTCTAATTTTCTAATAGTCTCTTATGGTAGAACTTAGTGTAACAGTATTATCTGTTTGACAGGCATTATATAAATAATCTTACTAATCAAGTTTCACCTTCTTACTCAAACATCTATTCACATCTATTCGTTTTTTTCAAACATCTATCCTTGATAGTGTACATGTCTCTTCTGTTTTTTCTTTTTCCTGTTCTCTTTCCACATAATACTACTAGTTTAATATTTTTACTGTAACAAAAATGAAAGTTTGATTTTGGCATCTGAGAATTTTGGGAAAGATAACAAAACAGGGAACCTATGAGGCTAACAAAATTTTTGAGGTGTTCTATGAAATGGCAAATTGTAAAAATGGAAAGGTTGCTTATTATTCATTGTTGCAAACCTTTTCTGAAACTGTATGACATGATTTCACTTCTGAGCACCTTTTATATCTTCTACTTAGGTATATTTTCATCTAATCTCCGTTAAAGGACTCTGACCCAATCCTATTTTCTAGAGCTCTTTAAGTATAACATGACTTTAAGTATAACATTTACATAAGCAGGCTAGCTTGTAGTTAAGTATGATAACCTGTATTCTCCCAGACTTCCATGAATCTTGCTAGCCAGAATTAGGTTTGGAAAAACAATTTTTCTCAGCATTTCCTCAAGACAAATCAGTAACCTCCTTCATAACCAGTTTTCCATTTTGTTGGTATTTTGCCTCCCCAAATATTTTCTGAAGAAAATCTTGATCTAATCAAGTTACTGGATGAATGAATTCTTTCAATTCCTGTGTAATGCAGCACAGATACCTATCATTCACCTGATCTTAGTCACTACATAGAAAATCCAAAATTATTTTCTAATTAACCCTGATAATCAAAACACCATTTTTCATACTGTTTCTCTCAATTGCAATCAGACATATAAAGTTATGGTATAATTATCACATATCATAACAATGTGAACACGAGAGCCAAAATTTTCATTTAGTTCTTTTTTCTGAGTTTTCCATAGACTTGATAAAAATAACTAACTCCATTAAAATTTTTTTTTAAAATTTTTATTTATTTGGTATAGGGTCTCACTATGCAGCTCAGGCCACACAACATGCAGCACTGGAATCGAACCTGGGTCCTTGCACTTGCCAGGCAGGCACTCACACTGCTGAGCTACCTCCCTAGCCCCTTTTTTGTCTTTTTGAGACAGCATTTCCCTATGCAATTCAGGCTGGCCTTGAAATCATTTTGTAGCCCAGGCTGGCTTTGACCTCAGCAATCCTCATGTCTCAGCTGCCGTGTGCTGGGATTACAAGTGTGCACCATTATACCTGGCTGCTAATTTCATTTTTGTCTCTAATATAATGTCAACTTCAAAATAAATTCTATAAAATCAATAATTTATGGAACTATTTTCCAGTTTCGAGGGATCTTCATTGATAATTTTTTCTAAATGCAAGAGATTAAAAAGTAGGTATCACCAGTGACAGGAAATCTGTGGCCTTTTCTTAAATTCTAAAAAGTAACAATTTAAGAACATATAAAGCATGTTTGACAGGGGCTAGGGAGATAGCTCAGCAGTCTAAGTGCCTTTCTTTTTTTTATTATTTTATTTTATTTTATTTTTATTTTTTTTCTAAGTGCCTTTCTAGCAGACGCGAGGACCTGGATTCAATCTCCAAGATCATGTGCTCTGCTGGCCCCCACAGGAGGATCACTGTGAGTCCAAGCTGTGTAGCGAGACCCTATGCCAGTTAAATAAACCTAAAAATAAAAATAAACAAAGTATCTCTGACAAAAATAATTATACATAAAGCTTACTGTCTTAAATCTAATACAAACCTAAATCATTTAGGTTGAAATAAATGTCAAATACCTATTCTTTACTAAAATACCAATATAAAATTATTATATATCAGAAAAAAACCTTGTGAAATTTAATATTAATACAGATCTTAGAAAGTGAGAAGATATTGGCTATATCCTTAATGATCAAGGAATCAGAAAAATAAGTTTTTTTTTTTTTTTTAAATGAGCAGAATATATTTATTGGGGGAAAGAAAGCTCCTGTCCGAGAGAGGGACAGGAGAGGGGGACCCAAGCGGGTAGTACCACAAATAAGTTTTCAAAATGCTTAATAATCAAAATGGATTATTAGGAAAAAAAAGTCTAAAGAGGATTATTTCTAGGTAATGGTGTTCTGGTTTAGATCTAAGATGGCCCCCAAATTCTCATGCATGTGGAAAGTGACTAGATGGATGGGGTTGCTATATTCAGCAGTGGATTCATCCACTGAGTTTAATGGTTGAATGTGCTGTAAGGAAGGTGGGGTCTGGTTGAAGGAGAATCACCAGGGTGGGACCTGAAGGGTGCATCTCCTAGTCTCTTTCTTCTCTCTCTGCTTCCTCACTGAATGAGCTGAGAACCTTTTCCTCTACCATACTCCTCCTTTGTGTTCCTGTCTACCTTGGATCGAGCTGATCATGGACTGAACACTGTGAGGCAAAATAAACTTTTCCTCTCTTTTGAGTGGGGTGCTGGGTATTATGGTCAAGTGATGAAAATATGACCAAGTAACACTGTCACCCCAAATTACTTAATAATACTAGATATATTATGTCTAGTACTTTCAAAACATCGAAAATTTTAAAAAGACACTTTGTTAAACGGCTTTTTGATACATGTATTTGAACATTTACTATATTCTTGAATAACTTCTATATAATCAGACTCTGTGCTAAACATGTTATGAAGATTAAGCACTGGCTAGAAAACTAACACAGCAAGAAAGGACCAAAACCATCTTGGTTAAAACAAAGGCTAATACTTCTTACAATTCTTATGTAACAGCCCCAACTGCTACTTGAACATGATGCCTACACTTATGCTAATAATTAAAATCCATACTTTTATATTTTTTACATTATAGCTGCACATATACATATATCTTAAAACTTTATTTTTAATTTAATTAATTTCCTCTCTCTCTCTCTCTCTCTCTCTCTCTCTCTCTCTCTCTCTTTTTAAAGCTTTGAGACAAGATCTTAATCAGTTGCTAAAATGCCCAGGCTGGGCTTGAACCTGTGATCTTTTTGCCTCAGCCTTTTAAGAGTGCTGGGATTATAGGGCTGCACCACCGCATCTGGTGCAGCTACACTTTTGTAACACATAAATTACTGTAACTTATTTTAATGACAACAAAAAAGGACATAAAACTCTAAGAAAGCAGATCTCTACATCTTAATAACAAAGGCAGGTAGTAGTATTAAAAAAAAAGCTTTCAAGAAGTCTGTATTCTAGAAATCCCTAGCAAAAGTAACTGCCAAAGAAGTTACCAAAAAAGAAAATTATGAGCATAGTATGTTTTAAGTGACATGAAAAAAAATGGTGCATAACAAAAAGTATGTTACAGAAATAAAAATCCCAAGCATGTTGTAAACATGGAAAGCTGAAAAGCAATCTAAGTCACACACCTCCTCATGCCAGAAAGGCACTACTACCATGAACTTCAAACGTATCTGAACAAGGTAGGTCTGCAGGTGGAGGTTAAAACATAACTTGGGAGTATTTTGATCACTTACTCAGGCCTTTTGATCCCAAGTCGTCAGGGATCTCCTGTAGAGAGTAGTCCCCAGAGAGCAAGCAATAAAAAGATAATCAAAGAAAATAGTTGTCAGTAATGCACAAAATTGGTGCTACAGTAAGAGACAGTTCCAAGACCATTACAGGTATACACATCTTACAGAGCATTTTTGTAGGTTTCTCAAAGCTTAGGATGAGTAACCAGCTACATGTAATCTATAAAAGAATAAAAGTTCTGGCTTAGTGACCAATTATGGTAGACAGGCAAAAGTTTCAGCTACTTCTTGCTATTTATTTTTTTTAAACAATTTAAGGATTTTTTTTTTTTTTTTTTGTTCCTCGAATGGCTTCAGGGCACTTTTGGCCAGCGGGAGAGTTGTGAGGTTCGAACTCCAGCAACCTGAGGCTGAGAGCTTTGTGGAAGCAGCCACTTAAAGGCCTGAGCTAGGGCCATGCCCCCTTTTTAAACAATTTAAAAAAATTTTTTTTTAAAATTTTATTTATTTATTTATTTGTGTGTGTGTGTGTGTGTGTGTGTGTGTGTGTGCTCAGCCCACCAGGGGGCGGGGCTGGCTGGCATGTGGTGCTGGGGATTGAACAGTGGTCCCTGTGCTTTGCTAAGCTTGTTCTAAGTAGGTGCTTTTGACCACTGAGCCATCTCACCAGCCCCCTACTTCTTGCTATTTAAAGTAACTTGCATTGCCTACATGTAACAAACAGGATAAAAAGCAATGATTCCAGATGAACTAGAATCAAAGACAGGCAATTCTGTACCTAGAAATTAGGAATATATGTTTCATTTCTAAAATGTTTTCTGAATGTTACATTAAAAAACTCTTAGTTCAAATAATTTTATTTACTTTTTTATATATTTAAGTTATAAGGATATAAGAATTCTTAAGAATTCTTACGGTGTCAGAAAGAGTTACAACTGGCATATAAATGAATTTATCACTAGTAAGTTTCCTCTTTTTTTTAAAAAACAGAACTTATATTTTATTTTTATTTTTTTACATTTATTTAGTGTGTGTGTGTGTGTGTGTGTGTGGCCAGCTCAGCCCACCTGGGGGCGGGGCTGGCTGGCATGTGCTGGGGGATCGAACTGCGGTCCCTGTGCTTTGCCAAGCTTGTTCTAAATAGGTGCTTTAGACCACTGAGCCATCTCTCCAGCCCCAAGTTTTCTCTTAAGACAGTTAGTAACCTGCTGCAGCTCTTGAAACTGTCTCCATGGTAACAACCAACTGCAGGGCAGTAGGTCCCTCTACATTATCTTCAGTTGACCACTGGATCCACATACTTACGGTCAGCATCACTTGTTTCCTGCTCACTCTGGTCCTTGTTCTTGTAGAAGGGGAATTTTCGGGAAAAGAGGTTCTTTTTACGCTTGTCATTGAATGACTGCTGAAGAAGAGAAGGAGGGGCAAAACAAAGGGATGTCTACTGTCTGTGTGTACAAAGGCCCAGCCTAGCAGCCCTGTGGAAGCTGACTCCTATGACCACAGTGTGCAGTCTATATGACTTTCACTTTATTCACATAAACAGCGAATTTCTAATCCTGCATAAACTTTTCTAACATTTTGTAAATTAAAATATTTAAAAATTTGAAGAAAATATTCATTTATATCTTAAAAACTACTACTTGACAAAAAAGGAGCAAATCAGATCAATATGACAGTACAAACCAACCTAATATTTGTTTTTAATGAATCCTTGTTTTTCTAGGAAAACTTCTAAATATAGCACTAAGTATCATATAGTAAGTTCTTTCCCCCCAAAAAGTGGGAATTGAACCCAGACCTCATACATACTAGGCAAGTGCTTTGCACCTGAGCTATAATTCCAACCCTTGAACTTGCAATCTTCCTACCTTGGCCTCCTAAGTAGCTAGGATTATGTATTTACACATTTATCATTGCTAAGTATCGACAGGAAAAACATTGTGCACACAGCGTTTGGTGTGGTCCACACTTTTTGGTACTGGAATATATTGTCCATTGGGAAAAGGGACTCCCATGCACCATGGTGGTACACACTAAGGAGCACGTTTTGGCATGCCTTTAGTTTTAATCATGTGATGCCAGTGATTAAGGTGCTGAAGTAACTTTTAGCTATAATTTTATGACTTGAGAGGATTTATTTTGAATAGGATCTTTATAAACATAAGAGTAACTTCATTTTTACCTTTGCATATCAATAATTCAGGATTAGTAAATCCATAGCTCATTAGCCAAGCAGACTGTCTTGACTTCAATCTTGACATTGAAGGTTCTGATATACTAGATGACAGAACTTTAAGCAGAAGTTAAACATTCTGCTGATGAGAGAAGTCTTATGGAGAAATCTGGGTTTGTAATTATTTTATAAACTGTCAAGTAGCATTATTTGAATAAAAACCTTTGTGTGAAATCAATTTTTAGAAAGGAGAAAGGGAAGAAAATTTTAAGTTTTAGAAGAAAAGTATTGTAATTTAAACCAGGAAAGTTCTCACTCTTTTCATTCCTAAGAATTACTTTTTTTTTTGACACTGGGAATTGTACTCAGGACCTCATGCTTGCCAAGCAGGTGCTATGCCATTGAGCTATAGCCCAAGCTGGATTGCTAGTTTTGAATTTAGCAATTCTGATATTTAATACAACTGGTATTTGTTTCACAAAAGGTTATTTACCCATCTTACTGCATATATTGTGGTCAGAGTCAGTTTCACAGCACATAACCAAAAGAAACATGAAGTTAAAAATGTTTTGATTTTTGGTATCTTTGCAGTTAGCCAAAATAAGATATCATAAAGATATCAGTACAGGACAGAAAGAAATGCTTGTTAGTTAAGAAATGTATTAACAGTATTATATTTAATACCTCCAGGTGAAGAATTTGTTAAAAGTGAAAACAAAAACAGCAAAAGCGAACAAGACAAAATATGTGTAGGGAAAATATAAAACTGAAGTTATGCTTTCTTCAGTTTTTCTATATTTTCAATAAAAACACACTGTTGTCATCAATGCCATATTGTAAGAGTGAAATAAACATGAGATAACATCACAAATTCATGATATATATAAAAAAGCTAAGTATATATAATTTCAGTATGTAGTGTTTTGAAATAGCCAAATGAATGTTAAAAATGTTAATGAAAAGCTGAAATGTGTGTGTGGATGTCTGTAATGAAAATAAAGTCCATAAATCATCATGTAAGGAAAAAGCAAAGGAGGAAGAGAGCATAAAATGTTATTATGGAAAGAAATGCAGTTCTGTATCAATGGCAAGCGTATTTTTACCCCGCTCAGTTATCATGCATACTTTTGGTGCTGTGTTAGAACACAGTGATTGTATAAAGTTGGTTATAGTCAACAAAGAAGACTGAGGTTTAAATATGTAGTTAATTCAGTTAACTTCTCATAGTACGAAAGAAAAGTCACAACATGCAACCTCTTTTTCAATTTGTTGATGTATTATACTAAAGCATTTTTAAAGACATACATAAAACAAGCACAAAAATCACTGTAATTATTTCAAATCCTGAGCATTTACTTGGAATTTTTCCTCCAATAAAAATTTCTATTTTACATATTGCTTGAGATAATTCTGCATTTTCTGAAAGCTACAATTTAAAAGAATTTATTATTCAAAAAAAATTGAACATGTACAACTTACACAGATTTAATTTCTTGGCCAAGGATCTTATTTCTTTTAAATTTTAAACTTTTTTGTTTGAGTACTCAGTGGTATCTGAGAGGTACAGAATGTAAATTTGCTGAATGAATTTTCACATTTATTTCAATTACAAACAAAAGAGCCATGAAATTATGCTTTAGATTAAAAAATAAGAGACATAAAGTGTAGCTGTGAAAAGGATTTCCCTATGATATGCATTCAGCCCTCTCTTCAGGCCTGCAGAAGACTTCACTGTAGCCAGTTCAGGATAATCAGTACATGTATTTAGTACAACTGCAGCTGGAACTATCTTTTTCATCTTATCACACTCAAAATTTATATTCAAGCAGAGATAAGTACATGAAAACTAAATACAGATCTAAAATATATGAAGCAATTTTGATATGCTTCTTGGCCATCTGTAAAACTTCTGTCACTTTATTTCTGCCAAATAATGATCCATGTTGATGCCAATATTTAAAACATAGCATTTACTAAGAAACAATTTCCAGAATTAAGGGCATGTAGAACAAGGAGACGTCTATGAATTCACATTCAACAACCTGAAAACTTACATTACGACTCAGTTCATATTTTGAGATCTACAGTAGTTATTATTAAACCAGTTTTCATGATTGATACTGATAAGATAATTCATTTATAAAAATAATCCTTATTACATGGAGGTTGCTAAGAATATATCAAACGACAATTTGATAATGTGAAAAGGTCTGTAAAGTAGATGCTTTAATTTAATAAATGCTTTTACTTCTGAAAAGTACCATCATTGCAAGCTATTTAATTAATTCCTATGGTGAAATCATTTTCATTGAAAAATAGCTTAAACATTACAAAAAAGGTCTATGATTTGCCATTATTAAATTTTAGAAATAAGAGACTTCATGTACTCACCCCTTTATCTCCTCTTGCTTTAGAATTGAATTTCACTGTTTTTAATCGGGCTCGTTCTTTCTTTTCAACCCTGTTAATGTACAGATGGTTACATCGTTTTATTATTTATTTTGTGTACTGGGGATTGAACCCAGGGACATTGCACTGAGCTAGACACTCAGCCCTTTATTTTGAGACAAGATCTTGTTGTATTTCTAAACTGCCCAGGCTGGGTTCGAAAATATGATTCTCCTGCCTCAGCTTCTCAAGGTGCTAGGATTATAGGTTTGGACTACCATGCCTGTTTTATTCAATAAGAAGTAAGTAGTTTACTTATTTTGCTGCTAGGAATTGAATCTAAGATCTTATATATGCTAAGCACACACTCAACCAATGAGCTACACTATTGGCCTCCAGAATGTTTTTTGAGACAGGGTCTTGATAGATAGTTCAGGCTGACCTGTGGCCTAGAATTCTTCATCTTCCTCCTTCAGCCTCTTTAACAGCTGAGACAATAGTCACATGCCACCATACTAGCCAGAATGTCATTTTTTAACTAAAACAAATATATCTAAGAGTCTTACTAGAGGGGCAAGTGAGATAGTGCAGTGGTCTAAAGCACCTGCTTAGGCAAGCTTAGGTAAAGCATAGGGACCGCAGTTCGATCCCTGGCACTATATGTTTTGCCAACCCTGCCCCCAGGGCGGGATGAGCTGGCCACAAAAAAAAAAAAAAAAAAAAAAAGAAAGTCTTACTAGAAAGTATCAGAATTGATATCTTTATAACAGGCATCTTTATATTCTAAAACCTTTAGGGATCATCTAGGTTCATACCCTAAAATCAGAGTTGCTGAAAAACAAAACAGAAGGGCTCATTTTATTATGAGAAACCAAAACATTTATTAGGTAGCGAAGTATAGTATGTGTGATTATACTTTTATATACACTCAAATCTGTAACTATAGTAAAAGCAATGGGAGGCAGTATTTCTGAGTTTAGCAAATTCCAGGTATTTCATATTTATTAATTTAAGTATCAGTTTAAGATTAGAACACAGATGCTAAAAATTAAGATTAAGAGAGAATGCAAATGTGGCAAAATTTAACAACTGGTGACAGTGGATAAAGGATATATGGTTCATTGTACTTAGCTGTTCTATTTTTGGACTTACTCTTCTGTAGCTCTGAAAGTTTAAAAAATAAAAGGGTTGGAAATAAATTAAGCTTAACGCCAATGACATATATGTTAGTATATAAAGCAACTAAAGAGTTTTAAAGTATTTTTGGAAGGATACATAAGAACTGGTAACCTGTCTTATCCCCATGAGGGTGAAACAGACGCTTGGGAAGGAAGTAGGAGTTTTTTTTTTTTTTTTTTTTTAAATTTTGAATTTTAGTTCAAATACACATTCAAGTTCAAGATATGCAAGCAAGGCTGGGTATAGTGTGCATGCCTGTAAGGAGGGGAGGCATAGTGAAACCCTGTCTCAAAAAAAGAAAAAGTAAATAAAATATAACAATACAACCAACTTTCATGTAGAATGTAATAATATGAATCTTGCAAATTTTTATGTTAGACAAATCCTCAGATTTCAACTTGCAATTATGTTAGTATAAACAGCTGTTGAAAAATGTATTTTATTACTAGCTAATATTGTTTTATCATGGGTATAGCAGAATCTTATCACTGACGAACTTAAAACTTATGTTTATTATTCCTGAGCAATCCTGATGGTCTATGACATGAATAATTTATAAACATGTCTGTACTTACTGAGGCAAGAATTGCAGGAATTATAATTTTTCATGCTACTATTAGAAATAAAGAGGTCTACGCAGGAGATAGTTCTATTTAAGGAAAAGTAAGTTTTGAATACATTTAAGAATGAAGTAGCATAATCAGTTATGGTTTTATACTGTATTGTGGGAGAAAAACTACTACAGTGTTACTCATGAATCTGGGGACTGGCAGAGGTCAAAACTTATCTCTTGCATCACTTTTCTCTTCTACCAAAGACAGATGCATTTCTCCATGGCTGAAGGAACATTTTTAGCTCTTACACAATATGATACAAGATTTTTAACAGACTCAAGAAAGTACAACTGTTTTTGAACCTTAAACACAGCACATTCTATTCCAGGAAAAAGTTATGCTAAGGGGATGATCTGCTCAAAGGGACTTGGCCATCCAATATGAAGCTGCACAACAGTTGGATCTTGCTGGCATATGGATCTAGCTAATAACAGTTATACACCTCACAGTCATTATTACAAATCCTTGCAATACTTTAGTATCCCTCTTGGACTTGTGGCGCTGCTCAGTTTAAGAGCTCTTGCTCTAGTTTTATTTTGTTTTTTGTTTTTTTTTGGCAGAACCGGGGATTGAACTCAGACCCCTGCGCTTGCCAGGGAAGCGCTTATTCCACTGAGCCATCTCCCCAGCTCCACTAGTTTTATTTTGAGCACTACAAAAAACAGAGTAAGGTACTGCTTTTGGGGACAAATACACATAAATATTACATGAGCTGGTATATTTCTCAACTATAGTGACTCCAACAAAATAAGTAGAACTCAATTCATTAGTAAGAAGTTGTTTACTGTATCAAGTGAATTAACTGGGTATAATAAAATTTTTGCCAGCTCTTTTTTTTTTTTTTTTTTTTTTTTGAGACAGGATCTTGCGGCATAGCCCAGGCTGGGCTCAAACTCACAGTGATCCTCCTCTCTTAACCTTCTAAAATTATTTAAAAAGTCTTCAAAAAAGGACTTTTAGTCAATGACTTAGGTAAGTCAGTTTTCATAAAGAAGTGATTTTGGGGGAATTATGAACTGACATTTGAATATCTTTCCCACAGAAGTGGAGACAGTGAATATTTCAAAGGTAAGGTGAGCCTGCCTTCTTAAAGTCAGCCTATACTTAACCACTTTAACTGCTAGGTGATAAACATGCACAAATGAATCACTAAATGAATGGTTAAAAGAAGAAGACCACATCACCAGGCCTAAAATAAAAAAAGAGATGCAAAGTCTACCAGAAAAATATTACTAAAACAAAAACCCCATGTATTTACCTCCATGTAGTAAATCTAAAGGAGGCAATGTATATAATAAAAAATTTAAGGTCTATTACTACCTACATGGGAAAATTACAGATACGTTTTTCCTGCATGGTATAGACATATGGCGCAGTCACTAAAAATACATTCATTTTGCTCTTACCAATTATCAGGAAATTTAAAGAACTTTCTATTTGAAGGCATTGTGTTTTCTAGTTTTGACATTGGTTATAAGTAACTGTGAAGCACAATATGGAAAATAAAGCATAAAATCACCACTTCTTATTTATTCAGTTGTGCTGGTGTCTTAAAATTTTTTTTTTTAAATAATTTTTTTTGGACACAGGATCTCACCTATGTAGTTCTGTATGGCCTTTAAGTCACTATGAAGCCCAGGCTGGTCTCAAACTCATACTGATCTTCCTGCTTCAGTCTCCTGAATGCAGGGACTGCAGGTATGTGCCACCATGACTGGTTAAAGTTTATTTTTAACTGTGCATGTTTGAAAGATGGTATCTAATTAGATGCCACAGATATGACATATACATGGATGCATACATGTGACACTGTAGTATGTATGTACACACACACACACACACACACACACTATAACATCACTATAACAAGCTAATTAACTATCACTTTACAGTTATCTTTTTTGGGAGGGGGATGGTAAATACTCTTAAGAACCTAACCTTTCCAGCAAATTGCGAGTACACTGTAGAATAATGTTATATATAGCTTACTACACTAAATGTTAGATTTCCTAAATTTATTCATCTTGCACAACTGCAAGTTTGCATCACCTGACCAACATCTTCCTACTCCTCCCTCTAGATACTGGTAATGACCAATCTATTATCTATTTTGGAATAGATACATATAAACATGAGAATGTACAATGTCTGTCTCTGGAAAATGTCATTCAGCAGAAGGTCCTCCAGGTCCATCTGTGTCACAGAGTACAAGAAATGAAAAGAAACAGCAATTTCTTAGGTTATTTATGTCCTACTTTCCAACTGTTAAGAAAAACATATTTACCTGCGTTTACTTGGAATCACTCCAACTTCCTCACTCTCACCATCTGGTGTGACTTGTCTCGCTTGCCACCATTCATCATCTGAAGCATTAATAACATGGAGGATATCTCCAAATTTGAAGTTCAGCCCTTGACTGGGAAGGCCACTGTCTTTGGTCTTGTCATAATCAAAAAGGGCTCTAGACTCAGAAGAGAAAGGTTCATAATTGTTATAATGGTAGTCAATTTGAAATTAACATAGCATTCTGAAATGACATATAACTTGGATAATTAAACACTGTACTATGGTGGGCAAATAATGCTAAGGAGAATTTTGCATTACAAGGCAATAAAACAAAAATATCACAAAACTGATGTATAATGGAAATGGTTATTTGATACATTAATTATTTCCTATTTCTTTCAATACTGTAGGAGAAAAAATTTTTTTCGAGCGAGGATCTTGTGTGGTCTAAGCTGGTCTCAAATTCATAATCCTACCTCAGGATTTCAGGCATGTGCTATCATTCTTTTTATTTTTATTTTATTTTTTTTTGTGCTATCATTCTTAACTTTGCTTTTTTTTTGAGACAGGGTCTTGCTATATAGTCCAGGATGGCCTTGAACTTGTTATTCTCTGGCATAAGCCTCCTGGGTGGTGGGATTATAGGCATGTGTCAGTAGAGCTGGCATTTTCTTTAGTTTTTGAATGTGACATCTAGAAAATTAAAAATGACAATGTTTTTCATAGTATGTTGTACAATGCCAACACATGCTTTGGAATCAGACTATTGTAAGGTTTGACTACTGTGTCCTAACTTTTTGGAGTTTTACTGTAGTTCTGTGTTTGCTTTGGGCAGTTTTTGGGTCTCAGTCTTTTCTGTCTGATGGGAAGAGTAATTTTATGTTGTAGTGTTGTTCTGAGATTAAGTCACATTAGGTAAAGTGTACAAGATAAATTTTAAAAATGCTTCTTGGTGTGATAGTACACACCTGTTATCTCACCTACCTGAAAGGCTGAGGCAGGTGGAACTGGTAGCTAATGACTTTCAATGTGTACCAGCCTAGACATTATGAGACTCCCATCTCATAATAAAAACAACCAATACATTTAGTATAATCCAATGATAATACATATACATGTACTTTTTGTGGTACCAGGGTACTCTGTTGCTAAGCTATACTTTCAGTCTCATTTTGTGAGAGAATGTTTTGCCAAATTGCACCAGTTAGGACTTGAATTTGATTCTCCTGCTTCACCCTCACAAAGTGCTGGAATTACAAGCATGTGCCATCAGACATGTTATGGTTTGTGTCCAGTTGTTCCCCCAAAACCTCATGCATACACATGGATGAGGGGGTGGACTTCTAGAGTTTGTGATTAATTCATGATCCACTGGGTTTATAGGTGTAAGTGCAGCTAGGATTATGGGTGTGAGTACTACAACTAGCCTGGGACAGATAGCCTGAATGCAACATAAGAGAGACAGACTTGCTCTTTGTAGTCTTTTGTTGCTGCTACTCTTCCTATTTGCTCTTGCTATTTTGCTGTATTCTGCTGCCATGAACTGCTGCCTCCTGCCATCTGCCAGTCTGCCTTGGAGCTCACTGAGTATGGACTGAAAACTCCACTGAAGGTGAGCTAAATAAATAAACCTTTTCTTCCTTCATTTTGGGTGTCAGGTATTTTGTCCTAGCAACAAGAGAAGAGTAACTGAGACACATGTACTACTGACAAGCTGTATCACTGAATTTCTTTAACTTTTTTTTTTTTTTTTTTTTTTTGCAGTACTGGGGATTGAACTTGGGACCTTGCACAAGCAGGCGCTTATGCTGCTGAGATATATCCTTGGTCCTGATTTTTAAAATGAAGGTAAATCTAGAGAATTACTCTAAAATAACTGAGAATGAACATTAAGAAATATTTTTAGCTAGGTTACTCTGGAGGTTGACGCAAGAGGGGCACAAATTCCAGTCAGCCTGGGTGATTTATCTGAGACCTATTTCAAAATAAACCTGAGACAGATGTGGATATAACTCAGGATTCCCTGGGTTCAATCTTCAGTATGGGGAAAACAAAAATATTTTTATACTGACCAAACACTTAGAAAAAACAAACTCTGACAGATTTATTAACTGTAGATAAGACTTAAAGATTAACATAATTATTATTCCATCAGCTAATTACTTCTTCCACTTGTTCACAAATGGAAGCAGCATTTCCAGAGTAAATATCAACAGAGAAAACTACAGATGCCCAAATATTTAGGAAAAATATTTTATTAATTTGCCATTTACAAAATGTTAATGTTTAAAAATTTGGTAAAAAGAAATTATTGTGTTCTACCACTTGATTAATGAACAATATTTAAAGAAATTAAATTCTTAAGTAAAAATAAGCTCTCTCAAAAGTATAGCAAAGAGGCTCAGAATAGGAGGATCACTACGAGTCTTAGCTGTGTAGTAAGATCCTGTATCAAATACATACCAAAAAAAAGTACAGCAAAGGACTGAGCACAGCTCAGTTGTTGTGTTCACCTATCATGCACAAATCTTGAGTTTGATCACAGTTCTACAAATACACAACAGGAAAGGATTCCAGCAATTACCGTTTCATAATTTATTCATTCTTTTTTATAATATGGTAAACAGAAATTAATATATAAATCATATTTATTTTTCTACTGGACTTTTTTTGGCAGCACTGAAGACTGAACCCAGGGCCTCTGTAAGCTACATTTCCAGCCTACTATATCGAGTACAAATAATGTATTGTTTCAAGTTTCATTAGCCAATGAAATGGAAAAAATGTTTATATATTAGTAGTATATATTTCTGTTACATTAATCTTATATAACAGAAAAATAACGTGTCTTCCCTTAAATTTAAAAAATACTCATAATTAAATGTTACTCAAACACAGCGCATTCTCCTATAAAAGCACACAGGTAAATCTAAGTAAGGGAGGATATACCCAGCTTATAGTCACCACTAAAATGTTAATCTAAAAAAATTTCAAGGCCATATTAATTTTGTCTTTCCTTATTATTACTATTCATAGGTTCATACCATATAACTTCCACTGGTGAAACTGTAATAATATTCTAGCCGAAAGATATACTATCAGGAAATCATTAAAAAAATTTTATGGATTTGCAATATATTTCTCTATAGTAAGCCTAAGTAATTCACAGTGAAAAATCTGGAAGAATTTATATGCATAAATAACTAAGAGTTACCATAATTGAAGTAAAAATTTACCTGACATAGAGAGATCGCTTCTGGCTAGTTCTCAGAGAGCCTGAGCCTGAGCTAATGCTACTATTCATCATCTGCTCCCGTAAGTCATGTATTTTTGCTTCAAAACGACTGTATTCTGAAGGAAGAAAAATAAATAAATTTATATTTCATATTCTTGATAGTTATTTACATATCTTAAATATGTAAATTATCCTAAAATTGATCAAATGTGGTTATTAGACTCTGAAAATAGTAATCTGTGTAAAATTTTGTCCAAGGGCAAACAACCTTCTAAATGTAACATAAATCAGAATTAGGTATTAGAATTTCTTCACATCTATATCACCATTAATTAACTGAAAGACAATTCTACTAATGAAATAGCACTGACAATCTTACATCCTAATTTCACGTCTAAAGACTAAAAAAAATCAGGATGTATTTCAATTTTTACATTAAAAAACAAATGTATGATAATTTTTTTTTTTTTTTTTTTTTGGTGGTACTGGGGATTGAACTCAGGCCCTTGTGTTTGTCAAGGAAGCGCTTATTCCACGAGGCCATTTCCCTTCCCTGATAATTAATGTTATAGATGTTTTGGTTGCTGACTTCATCTCCTGGAATGAGTTAATCTTAAATTCTTAAGCAGAGAATTTGTGTAGGTCAGTAATAACAGGAAATACATGCCTTAACAAATTGATAAATGAAATTGAATTTAGTTTAATTCATAAATTGTCAAAATGTCAAAGACACAAAAGCAATATAAGTAACATCTTAAACATTTTTAAAGACAGTTTAGTAGAAAAGCAACTATCATTTTGAAGATGGACTATATTAAACTGTATCATCTATTAAAAACTACATTAAAATCAGCGCTTTTCCAAAAATAATTGTGATTACAGTTATATATATATATTTACAATTAGGTGAGATCAAATCTTATTTTGTTATAAACTTAAGTAAACAAATTGTCTGGGAGTCTGTTCAAGAAGACAGACTAAAGCCTGAATTTTACTGAGTTATTCTTCCTTTCATCATAGCCATCAAATGTGTTTTAAGAACACTATTAATTGAAGCAACAATTTATCAAAAATTTGGAAACACTTAAACATTCACATTAATATCTAGCGAAGTATTTTTCAGTTTTAAACTATAATAAACTTTTCATTTAAATTTTTTATGTATTTGGTACAGGGTCTCACTATGCAGTTCAGACTTGTAGTGATCCCCCTTTTTGTACCTTCCCCAGCGCTGGGGTTATAGGTGTGTGCTACCATGTCTAGTCTTAGTGGTCCTCTCAGCGCACCCAGGGGCGGGGCTAGGGCTGCATGTGGTGCTGGGAATAAAACTTTGAATAAAAATGTTAGAAGTCTGATTATTACAATTCAATAATTATCAATTCATGATAATGCTTTAGTATATGGTGATACAGCCAAAAAGTAATTGAAGGAGATATGAGCTTATTACATACATTTTAAATTTATACTGATTTTTCTAATTAAAACTAGAACGATTGGATTTTAATTTTTTTTTTTCTTTTTTGAGTCAGGGTCACCCTACATAGTTTAGGCTGGTCTTGGGTTTGAACTCGCGGCAATCCTCTTGTCTCAGCCTCCTCAGTGCTGGGATTATAGGCTTGTGCCACCATGTCCAGCACTGGGTTTTAAATTAAACTTTTCTTATTTTATATTTGTTTTTATTTTCTTGAAGATGGAGAATATTGGTTCTTAGGTTATTATGAATAACAGAATTAGAGTACTTCAGTACTAGTTTTATCCAAATGTTATATTCACAATAGCAATAAAAATAATGAAACATCATAGTGACTACTGAAAACTAGTAATTGCTTTTCTAAGTTTTTTATTCTGGGGTTATAGACCACAAAAGATATATGGAGTTGATGTTTTAACATTATTTGGAAAAGTTCCTCTTTGGTGTTACGCCTCCAGTACAAATTCAAGTTCAGTTTTATTTTTATTATTATAACTTTATGTATTTAGTACAGGGTCTACAGGGTCTCACTACACAGAGTGGACTTGTAGTGATCCTCCTGTTTTCAGCCTCCCAAACTTTGGGATTACAGGTGCGTGCCATCATGCCTTCTCTCAATCACCTGTCTCAGAACACCCTGGGGGCGGGGCCGTGTGCCTAAGCAGGCATTTCAATCCACTGAGCTATCTGGCTGGCTCCAGTTTTGTTTTTATATTCAACTTCAATTCCATCCAGACTCCCTCTAAAAAAAAAGTCCCCAATTTGATAATGGGAATCAAACTTAAGTAACTTGTCAGTATTACAGTATTGGGTTATCCCTCAACCCTCAATATTAAGAATTAAACCTAGGAAGCACTGAGCTACATCCTTAGCCCTTTTTGAATTGAGGCACTTGAAATTCTCCTGTCTCAGTCTGCTGAATAGCACAGATTATAGGTATGTGCCACTATCACACTGGGTTGGAATGTTCTTTTGGTATGTAGTTTGAAATATTTTGGAAAAAAATTTCTTATATAGAATTTTGGTGTTCTGTTTAATTGTTTTTTTCTCCCTAGTGGACTCTTAGTACATATGGAACAATCATTGTCTACTACTTTTTTTTTTTTTTTTTTCCTTTATGTAGCCCAGGCTAACCCTGACCTTATGATCCTTTTGCCTTAGCCTCCTGAGTGCTAGGATGGTAGGCCAGCACCACCACACTCAGTTTGCCTAACTTCTTTTATGTCTCACTTTGAACAAGTCCCCTGTTTACTATGTATTTCTTAAAGATTAAAAGTCACACTTAGTTTTTCCTGAACCACTTGAGTAACTTGCTTCCTTGATGTCTCAACTCTGAATCTGCCCAGTGTGCATTTCCTCCAGATGTATGTTTCTTCACAACCGCAAAACCATCAAAATCAGTAAAATAACATTGATGTTATTTTCACTGAAAGCTCATACTGCAATACAGTTTCACCAATGATGTCCTTTATATCAAAGGGATCCAGTTCAAAAAGGTATTGTGGTGTTTTTTTTTGGTTTGTTTTGTTTTTAGCTAGAAGTGCTGTAGTCTTTCCTTTACTTTGTGATGTTCATACTGGCAGTTGGAGGTCAATTATTTTGTAGAACTGCTCTCATTCTGAGATTTTCTGATGCTTCTAAAAATGACTATATTGGAGTTATGCAATTTTGGCAGGAATACTACAGAGAAGATGTTCTGTTTTTCTCAATGTAACCTATCAGGTAGTAAATAATTCTGATTTGTCCTCTTACTGACTTGTATAATTTTTGTTGTCTTTGATCACTTGATATAGGTTGTATCTGTCTGAGTTTTCCACTGTGACTTCTTACTATGCAAAGAAGTTACTGAAACCGAGTATACTTCTTTGTCATTAAATCTGCAATTTTAATTTATACTGTTATGGACTCATAATTTCCTAATTTATTCAGTGGGGCACAGTCTATGTTATTTTTTACTAACTATGCTGAAACTGTTCCTAATTTGACCAGCAGGAGTCCTTCACAGACAGAATCTATGTCTTTTTGGCATGTCTTAATCATTCCTCAAGTGTGTTTCTGGTACAGAACATTATAGAATAATCTCCTTATTTTCCCTGCCTGAGCCCTGGAGACAGCCATACCACTTCTACCAGATCTCAGCTACTTAAGCAGCCTCTGTGTATATTTTATTGTCCAGGTAATATACCTGTCTTCTCTGTTTTGCTTAACACAAGGTACAGCTTTGTGGGTAGAAGTGCATATATGTTTTATTTGCCTTGTTCCTTTTGTTTCCAAGGGAGGTCTGAGGCCAGATACTGACTTATCCTTAATCCTACTTAAAAAGTCTTTATTCATTATAAGCTTACAAATGAGGTTAGGTACTGTACCAACCAAGCAGTAATTGTAATCTGGTTTCTATTAAGTGTACTTACAGGGTAGGAATGTGGAGCCCCTAAAATAAAAGCATGTGTGGCCCACACTAGCAGATTTCTCACAAAATCAATGAACTAGCATTCTGATTTTCTATACTAATTACTTGTGTTTTTTTTTTTTAATTTTAAATCTTTATTTTTATTTTTTTTTAATATTTATTTATTTATTTATTTATTT